AATAGGAGGGATCCGGGAACTGCTGTTATTAAGAAATCCGGACCCCTCCTAGCGCCTGCCCGCAACGGCGCAGGCACCACCTTCGGGTACATTTTCTATTTAGGCGATGTGAAGCACACCCGGACGTCGCCTCCTTGCGGCTGGCCCTTATGACGGGTGGAGGGGAAAACCCGTCCCGTCCAGCCGCGGCCAGACTCAGGGCGGCATGAGGCTCTGGTAAGCGCGCCTCCGCCGCCCGGTTCGTCTGCTGCGAATTAGGTCCGAGTGGAGATTATCCTCCCGGGCCCTATCGAAATCGAAATATTAAATACAAGTACATATTATAATCGAAATATTGTTTTCTGAACAGGAGTATTATGCCGTATATTGCTTGATGATATTTTCAAGTAATATTTATGAAATATTTGTACGTAATAAAAATATGTTACTATACACACCAGTTGGAATGAAAGTTTTTGATATCAATTTTAGTATATACACGCCTCAAATATAATTTTACTGTAACTGTACTGTACTGTATGTAACTTTAAGGATTATAGTTTAAAGTCTCTGGTACTGGTACGTACATACGTGAACAATAATTTGGTTATCAGTTTATGCAAAATTTGAAGTAGCTCCATGTTACCTGAGCCACAATAATAAATACCAATCAATTATATTTTAAAACGATGTACGTCAAACGTACATAATGTACTTAGGACCATATATATCGCTGTACGTAGACGCTCGACGAGATCGATCGCGGCTTCTTCTTGTCGAAGAGGTTGTCTTACGTGGTGGACATAGTAAACGCCTTTAACTCCCTCCACTTGTGGGCGATTAGGAGGCACTGGTATATCACCAGTTGCCCCCTACTCGCGGGACCTTGCGGGATCGTAAGTGGGTCGGGACAACGAGTAATATCGAAGGGAGGTCACATGCGAGGTTCCCCAAGGGTCGGTCTTATTACCCCTTCTATGGTACCAAACGTATGATGCCGTTCTGAGGACCAGCCTTCCCCCAGGATTGAGCGTCTCTAGCACAGGCTGGGGGCATGGCTTCCAGGAGTCCTTGAGCTCGCCGAGATAGGGGTGCCTTGTGTAGTCCGGGCCCTGAAGGCCAGCAACGACGCGATACTGCGACGACCGCAGCGAGTGCTGGCCATCAGGATCATAAGGGGGTACCGCACGATCTCCTTTGAGGCGGTGAGTCTCCTGGCCGGAACTCCACCGTGGGACCTGGAGGCGAGAGCCCTTGCGGCTCTGTATCAGTGGCGCAAGGAGGCGCGGGAGTGGGGTCATTGTCCCGAGATTCGAGAAATCGATGACCGGAAATCCCAACTCCGCCAGGTCATCATAGGGGAGTGGAGGGAACGACTCGGGCAACCGAGCGCCGGGCACGCCGTCATCGCGGCGGTAAGACCCCTTATGGAGGATTGGCTCGAGAGGCGTCACGGAAAGGAAAGGATGTTACGGGGATCACTTGTGTCTGATCCGCAAGAAGCCACCGCCTGAGTGCCTCCACGGCGATGGCCAGACCGTGGACACGGCTCTCCACACGCTGACAGAGTGCCCGGCGTGGGTTGAGCAGAGGCGAGACCTCGTGGCGGCCATCGGAGTGGGAGTTCTCTCGCTCGATAGCCTGACTGCGGCTATCGTGCGGAGCGAGAGTGCGTGGAACTCTGCCGTCTCCTTCTGCGAGCAAGTTATGCTCGCGAAGGAGACGGCGGAGCGGGACCGGAAGAGGTTCAGAACTCTCTCTCTCAGAGGTCGCAGAACGACCTCCGTCCTCCATAAGCGTAGGCCTGGGGGTGACAGGTGAGGCCATCTGTCACCCTAGCAGAAGCAGGCCGGGGTGGCGGCGAGCGCGTTGCGAAGCGCTCTCGCTTCCAGGGAGCAGAGGGAACACACGGGGGGGAGGGGTCGTCTACTCGTCTGTAGATGGCCCGAGGTATGTCGGGGCACGAGGGACTTCCTTTCTAGGGTATACCTGGTTCCCCGGCTATTAGTACCCGAGACGGCGTGCGGTTTTAGTCGGTTCGAGTCCGACATGCCACCGATAGGTGGTATCCGAGGGGATTTCCGCACGGAAAAAAAAAGGGGTGCCTTGTGTCATCCAAAACATTAGCGGTCTAAGACTAAGGGTTGCACCTCATTAGACGGAAGCCTTGTTTTTCCACAGGAAACGCACAGGTTCAGTTCCCAACTCAGCTCACTTATTAGAGTAGGGGAAATAAGGGTCGCGGTTAGCCAACACATCAAATACCTTTGCCTCATCCTGGACAGCCGCTGGAGCTTTGAGGAGCATTTCGAGCGGAGGATCCCAAAGTTCGTGGTATGGCGGGCTCCTTACAGAGGCTGTTGCCTAACCTAGGGGGTCCGCGGGAGGAAGTTTACCGCCTCTATTGTACGGTGATACGATCCATGGCCCTCTATGGAGCGCCGATATGGGATAAGCGGGTATGGAGCGCAATGGTCTCTTTCTGTGAAGCTGTAATGCTCGAGAAAGAGACCGCTGAACGGGATCGGGAGAGGGCCAATCCCGAGCGTAGAGGTCGTCGATGGCGATACCAGCTGCCGACGGGGCTGCGGGCCGCCAGAGAGTGGGGACCTCTGGTGGCAAATTGACTGCTGCGGTAGGGGATAGGATGGCGGTCTGATTGCATTAAGACGCAATTGGGCGGCCACGCCGTGATTGAGGGGGGAAAGTGTTTTCCCCCTGGGATAGGGCCTGATTAGGCATGGTGACAATTCGGGGAGGACCTGAAATAATATGGTCCGGGTCCTCCCAGAGTAGGGCACCTGAGGCCGGTCGTCGGGGTGGTTTTTAACGGAATCACCACATACTCCCGGCTCCTGAGTCCCAGAGGAGAAGGATATCTAAATGGATTTTCCACCCGGCCAACAAAAAAAAAACAAGTATCTAACAAAATAATGAGCATCGATTGTGCCTCCGCTGCGGAGCATACTCATAATTTAAAATAAAAACATAATTTCGTTTCTTTTTAATTTAATTTAAATCTAATAACGATTAATGGTAAATTAAAAAATAACGAGGCGTTTTCTATGAAAATTAAAGTAAAGTGAAAATAATCAAATACCACATCTTATTAATAATATTTTACAACACACATTTTTACAAACAGTATTCGTACATCAGTTTTCATAACATAAAAAATAGTCTGTTATCTGTCCTGAGTACGTGTTTAAAGTGGATCTGCTGGGGAGTATGCTCCGCAGCAGAGCCACAATCGATGCTCATTAGTTGTTACCTTCTGTACATATAGCGATAAAGGCCCTAAGTCCATTATGTACGTTTGACGTAAATAATACTAAGATATAATTGATCACTTTTTATAAAGGTAGCTCTGCGGTAGAGCACGACACATGTTACTGAGCGGAAGAAGTTCCACATCTAACAAGATTCGTTTTTGTTTGATGTGTACAGAAGGTTTGCCTTTTAAATTTTTTAGGAGTAAAAATAATAATTGTTATTTTTAAGTTGCAGGTGTCCATGGGCGGCGGAAGTTGCTTACCATCAGGTGATCCGTTTTCTCGATTGCCCCCTTACGCCATTAAAAAAGAAAAAAGAAGTAAATAATAAATTACTGACAACACAAACATTTTTTATCGCTTAGATACTGACATGAGTAGTTCTCGTATACTGAAGAAGACACAGGAATTGACGTAATGCGAAGGCTGGCGTCACGCAGAGTACTGTGTCATCTGTGCCTTATTGAGTACACCACAACTGTCTAAGTCCCGCCGGCCACAAGCGGCTAGCGGCATCGTGTCGCCGTTAGTAATTACATGATCTCATTTTCTCTATTTATTCGATTTTCAGATAACTTTTCTCAATGCGTCATTTACCGCTGTGTCGCACTGGATCATTACATTTATGTTTTTTTTTTATTTCTTTACATGAGGTATTCCGATAAATATAGCCTTGAACTGGAAAATTTCTTCATAGTAATAAAAAATAATGATGATTAAAATATAGGATGAGTAGTTTTATATTCCTATTCGCAGAGGATTGATTTTTTGTCAAATGTTTTGAGACAAAGAATTAAATAAAGCAATTTGATGTTCCTGTTTATGTAGTCTAGTGGTTAGTGACCCTGACTGCTAAGCCGGACGGATTTTTACCGTGTATAGATGTAATTTATCTACAATATGTATGTATTTAGATATTTTTAAGTGTGTTTATCAGCAGTCTGGTCATCATAGCGCAGGCTCAGTGTTGTGCGATGATTTACTTCTAGTGCGGGAGATGTCTATAAAAAGAGAAAGAAAAAAAAGATTAGACTGCCGTGTGTAAAATCATTAATAATTTTAAAACAGGACTCCTATGATGCTCTTGATATATTTAAGCTATTCCTAGAGCTTCGAACATGGCAACACTCAGCAACAGGTTGTTGCAGACGCCCAGATTGCGCTAACAGGATTTAATAGTTACTTTGATATACACAACAGATGGAACCTACAATAAGACGGCCATGCGAAATAATAGTGTAATTTAATATTTTTTGGTATAATTAGACCAATCTCGTAACAAATAGATACTATATAACACCAAGTTCAAATTGATTAGGAGCTTGTGGGTTTAAAAATGTTAAGCTATATGATATAGCAGGAGTAATAAAACTCACATTTAGATTTTTATGAAATATACAGTCAAAACAGTTAATAAAATTGTTTTATTTTCAATTCAAGCATTTATTTCCACATCCAGTAACTGATATAGGTTTGATCTAAGTTCTCTTTCATATTTAATCCTTATATACAGATTTGCCTGATCGCCAAAACTTTTAATTACTCTTACTACAACAATTACACCTTCAATAAAATTTTAGCCACACTTTTAATCCAACGGCTAGGAATAGAAAAAGATAATTTCCTACATAAATCCTACGCAAAAATAATTTACCGAAATAGAACGAGAAAGTACCTGCCGACTAATACGTCAAGTGGAAAATTCTTATAATTCCGCAAAAGTAATTTCTTAGAAGATAAGGCCAGGGAATGTTAGGTAAACTGTAACTTCCTAGAAATCATTACAATGCAGTGGAACAGGGTACAAGCTGCCATATTAGTATTTCAGAATTTTACTCACTGGATCAGATGAATTAAATTAAGGCAACATGTCAATTCCGATATAAAAGGAAAAAAGTTGTAACGATTTTCCTTATTTATTTTACATCATTCTTGTTTGGTGCTATCACTACACTGTTTAAATGTAACAGAAATTACCAAATCAGGACTCTTGAGTTATTCCAAACAACAAAAAGATTCAACGTCATCACATTGTTCAAATTGAGATTATTTAGGAGTTCACAATCAATTGAATCCTTAATTTGACCTATCCCGTTTTAAGTACATTAACGACCCACACTATCGAGAACAGTGCCCAACTCGGGTCATCATTGCACAAAATATCGCTTACAGGGCAATTAGGAAGCGCAACGAACCAAGATTACAATGTATAGTCGTGAGAGGACATTAAACTCATTTTTTTCCATTTTCGTCGTCAATTTTAAAATATTTTGAACGATCAGCATGCAAATAGTCACTTCTATTTGCATGCTGATCACATTAGTTTTTCTTTGTAACAAATTTTTGTGTAAAGAGTTATACAAATACTTTTTGTAAAATAGTGAGTATAAAACAAGAGGTCCATTTGCAACTTGCATCTATTGTTTCAACGGCATTGAACTGTAACAAATTAAAAAACTTGCCTTATAAAAAGTTCGTTGACTTTGTCTTCATTTCAAGTCCTAGATATACTGTATTAGGATTAATTCATTTGTCAAGATGGCCGCACTCTATCAATAAAAATAAAATTGTGCTATTTTGACGTTGACCTTGTCGTGACGATTAATTCCCCGATCTGGGTAGGCAGTAGGTTGTGTCGCCGGACCGGCCTTGCTGCCATGACGTAACCTGAATGCCTCCGAGCAACTGCGAGTCTTCGTGTCGACCGAGACAGATATCGAACGTGCGCGAGCGCATCCCGTGTTCGTCACTTAAAAATATTCGATTTATAAACACGCGAATTAAATCGATTATAACTAAATCGAGTGTGAATAACAAGCGGATGTATGATGTAAATTCTTGCATGATGTAATTGTGAGATAAATTGTTTGAGGATGACATTGTTTGGTTGAAGAAAATTTACAAATATAGAAGGGATTCACTCAAGCAAAATAAGAAGGTAAGTTTTAAATTATTTTGGAGTCCTTATAGATCTAATTGCTGACGTCTACACATATGTCCATTTACCAACATAGGCATATATAAAAATATTAGTTGATAATTTTGTCTATGAAAACGTTAATACAGTCATTTAAGCAAGAAGTTCTCAACTACCTACTATTTAATTACTTTCTACTTAAACAGTTTAAACAAATGGTTCAATGGTAAAAAAATCAACTTTAATGGATAAACAGTTTTCTCATTATATTCTAAAATTAAAACTGCAAATTAATTACTTTGATTCATATAAATTAAGTATCAGTATCAATAAAATTACTACAAATCTGTTAGTTTTTAATAATAAACATGTCAAATTTAGTTTAAGTTCAATCTTGTCCGTTATTTATAAAAATGATATCATAGTTGAAATACATTAAATTTTAACATCTCTGATCGATTTTTTATGAAAACAGGTACATCTTGTTTCACACCGTGTATTAGTATTCAATACATATACTATTAATTAACTAGAAACAAAACCAGTTCGTCGACCTTTTTACTGTAGGCGGGACACATACTTAAAATATCATAATTTTAATCATAAATTCTTATCTATAGCCCGGCCTATTCAGTGACGTTAACGAGATTATTGCTCGACAGTTTTCAGCTTTCGGTATTGTGTAATATTACATATGCAATAAATCTGATTCAACTCCTCTTAGTTATTCGAAAACAATCTAGTAATATAATGCTTAATGTTAAAAAAAAAGAACGTCGATCAGAATGGGTTTTAACTTTGTCAGAAGTAAGCATGTTTAGATGCATTTTTAAAATAATGGAATTGCTTTGATGTAACGCTTGTTCTCAAATACTTACTTTTAAATTTTACATAAATGTTTTTTATATTAAGCAAAAAAAAATATTATGTCGGTCAGATATATTTTTTTTTATGTCTATTTTAACACACTTAACTTTATTATATATTTATAAAGATTTTACAAAATAATTGAATTTGTAAATACTATGAGGTGGTTACAAAAATTTCAATACTAGAAAATATAACAGCGCATCTTCTAAGTGCTTGCAGCTGACTCATTCGTGTCCTAGACATAACTATGCGTCACTCGGGTACGTATCGTTTTCGAGAGATCAAGAAGGTTATTGGCATATCTGACAATACGAATATTTTAGACAGTTTTATGAATTTCAAACAATCAGCGAGTTCTTTATACAATTAGTTCTATAATCTATAAATAAAATCTGCCAAATTAGACTATAACGCATTTAATAGTACAACACATCTTCATCATCATCATCATCTTCAGGTTTAGTAAAAAAAATTGACCCAAAAGTAATTATATGTTAAATTATTTAAATTTTATATTAGCATTTATAAATATTTAGTGTTTTTGTCATTATTGTGTCTGTATGATGTCAATTAGAGAACTAACAACATAATTTAACATACTTATTAAGTATTTAGTGTAAAGACTTAAATTGCAGGAAAACGTAAACGTAAACGTTGAAATTCAAACGTAACTAAGACTAGAACTTCAAATCCCTGGACCGTTCAATGTTTTAGTGGTGTTTTCTGTTTGTAAATTCTTAGAAGTTGTACGAATTCTGAAAACGCACACGTTAGATAGATAGATAGCGGTGAAGAGAGACCCAAAAAATGACATTGAAATTTATTAAAAAAATGACTGAGAGAAAGGAAAGACAATCAAGCCTTAATTTGAGACGAGGGAACTCCTCAACTGTCAACATTGTGTTAGAATTCTGACAGTTATACAATCTGTCCAAAGAACATCTTACCTTAACAGCTAGGCTAAGGATTAGGACCAGATGAGCAATACATATACAGTTGGGCTTTATATACAGACATTAAAAAGCTTTTTAGTTACGTTTAGTATATAGACAAATATTTAGTAAAGTTTGTTTATTATATACTAATTATTTGTTTTTGTAACTTACTATTTTAGTATGTATTTAAATATCGCTACTGTTGATGGTAATTAAATAATTCCCTATAATCTTTGTCACGACTATTTCTACTCGCTCTTATTCCTGCCATACATTGTCTGATATTCACAACTTTTAGTAACATAATCTTGTTGACCCCGCAAAAGTTGTTTTGTCATATACATCATTTCAAAAAAATTGTTAAAAAAAATAGGTTTATGAAAAATAGATGTTACCCGATATGCACACAAAATTTCACGAAAATCGGTCGAGCCGTTTCGAAGGAGGTCAACTTCTAACACCGTGACACGAGAATTTTATATAATAGATTATTTGTGAATTTCCCATTTCTAAGTGAAATTCAATGAACGGAACGGCACCGCACATACAAAGTTTATGTTTAGAAGAAATTCTACAATTTTTAAACAATTAGTCTCACAATTTTTTTTTTTTTTTTTTTTGTTAAAAACGACTACATCAGCTACAGGCATCAATTACACATATAGTTTTATTTTGGACGGTACAGAAAGGTATAAAATAATACAAACTTTTTAGCCAATGGATTATAGTCGAAACTCGCAATCTCACCAGGCAATCTCCAAAACCTATAAAAGACCAAGACCAGGTCAAATTCACTGAATGAAGTACCATAATACATACGTATCTACCTAGTAATCTGTTGACACTGTAAAGCGGTGATATCATATAAACAAAAATAGCCTAAAGCCTTCCATTTTGCCAGTTGCACTTGCATTTCTACATATGGCAAGTTATACGAGTCAGGTACTTTTATTGTCATGGAAATGGCATTGGTATACGATGCAGCTGTCGTGCCTTGGACTTTATAAACTGGCACGTGCATCGACATCAATTGCAAAACACGCGTTTTGCGTTATTATTTACCATCTTAATACAGACAGTAAATTAGTTTATACCGTTCAATCGCAATTGTCACTAAAAATCTTGCCCTTAGAATTTAAGGAACTTAGTTTACAGTTCTTCTTCTTCAATCTTATTCATTCATTTCAGTATTCCACATATGCCACTAGTATTTACTTTCATAAGTAAGGAGTTTCCCATTCGTCAGTTCTTCTTTATTATTTTAAGAATAAAAAAGATATCCTAGTAGTGATATTATATACATTTCTTTGAAAAAATATAATGTAGATAACCTCTGGAAGTCTAAAAAGGAAAAGTTAGCGATCTTGTAAAATATCTATGAGTAAATCCTGCGTATCCACTGTCCACAGTACTAAAAGTGTTTTTGAGAGAGACAACATTTTGGAGAGAGAAAGAGAGAGAGGATTCATAAGTAATAGAGGCGCATAACGTACTTTAGGTTCACAAATTACCTTAACGCTATAACTTTTTTTAAAGCGGACTAGATTTTCGTCGGTTAAGCTGGTCGGTGAGTTATGAGAAGCTATTTACCTTGTTACACCTGTTACACCTGCTGTCCGTGTGGTGACGGAGTAAGAATAATACAGAGTGTCACCACCCCTGTTCATGCCACGGGAGTCAAAGAGCCGCCTAAGGGAGCTAATTATGGAGGACAACAGCACTGCAAAGTAAAGAAAACTTGAAACAAACCCTATACCAAACCCGTATGGCCAGCGGGGTATAGTAGGCCAAAACCTCCTTTCTAAGGAGAGGCCTGTGTCCAGCAGTGGACTGTTATGGGCTGTTGATGATGATGATGACCTGATCGAACGAATCTTTTATGTAAGAGAAGCATGCTATGGCACTAATTGGCAGGTTCGACCCACGTGGTACCACGGACGTACAGAAAAACGATGTTAAACAATTTGTTCGTTGCTTTTCACAGAGTAACGTTACCGGAGCCTAAACCCCGCACCTCCTGATTCTGGGGGGCAACGACTCTTGCAAGTGTCCATAGGCATCGGTAGTCACTGACCATTAGGTGACCCGTCTGCTCGATTGCTGCCCACTCCCCCCACCCATTCTATAAAAAATTAGAAGTATAAAATCATTATAATCATCTGCTAACATGACATAGTTTAAAAAATGAAATCTTATTGTTTTTATAATTTTAATTATAAATTATTTATGTCTGTGCCGTATTAAAAGTAAGGCAGGCACTGAGGAAATGTTTTATGTAACTACACTCTGCAAAAGTAATTGTAAATATTGTAATCCTTTCATTTTAAATTCATTTTACATTATAATCTCAAGAAACTAGAAAGCAGAATTAAGTGTACATCAAACAACAATTTATTTTACGATTTACAATAAAATAGGGTCAGAATTGCTTAATGTGCTGCTAAGAACTCCTTACTTTTCGACTAAGTACAGCCGCAAAATACATTATAGTCCCAGTAGTATAGCAAAAGTGAGGTATACATAAAAAAATCGCTCTATACGCTCACATATTTTCGAGGTTTTGTTAAACATAGTACCATTCTACACACCATACTAACTTGTCTGTATTCTGAAACACACTAGCTATATCTGTATCTTTGTGTTGTTCATATCGTCCAATGGAAGCGGTCAAAGTGCCTTAAACATCACCGAAAAACTACTACCAGCATAAAAACATGTGGTTCTGATAGAAATCCGCAAGTTTTTATAATATCTATGTGACTTTGTACTCAAAGTGTTACTAGCTACCGTTAGATTTCTCTTCCTATGGGAACCAACCACTCTTTTTATAAGTTCCATGCAATTACCAGTCCTCGTGTCAATAACGGTGATTTAATGGTTATTGACTTTTTTGTGAAGATGACCCCTTCGTCTTATAAGTGTTACTGTTCTTTATAAATATTTTAAAATGCTGAATTCTATATCAATTCAAAATTTAGAGTATATCTGTGTTAGGCAAAAACATCAAAATTTGCTACAGGTAAGCACTAAAAGATTACAAATTGTTGCATAGCTAAGCGGTACAGAATACCCATAACACTTAGTACATTATTTGTGCATAAAGTGTTAACAAATAAAGCATACCTTATCCCTGGCAAGTTCACTTTAAGCTACAGCCTAGTAGTATAATATAGTCTCTGTTAAATGTATATTTTGTGTAATGAATTTATTGTGTAG